GTTACCTGCGGTGGTTCTGTGTGTGAAGAACGCACGCTACTGGGCGTCGGCTCGTTTGCCGCCATCCGAATTTCTAAAAATAATAGATCGCGGGGTTAGTTGTGTGTCTAAGTAGAGCTGTTGGTATGCGCAGTTAGATTCCAGGTCAAGCTGCAAATGTACTGACCAAATGTTGACCCTACTCTTAGTCCTCTATTATCATTATATGCATAGAACTCCAACAGCCACCGTTTTTTTGCGAATGCCAAGGTCGACGAAGTCAACAATTATGAAATATGCATATTCCTTTTCCTTCAAATTCTAGTGGTGACAGTGATAGAATTTGTTCTACGTTAATTAGTTATGCTTTGGTTGCGGCGTAGCGATTCTCAATGACTTTCTAGGTTGAATATTACAGCGACGACAAAAATCTGCGGGAAGGCTTTATTTAAGTACTCTTAACTTTCTGCTTCTTATAGAACGGAACAAGTAGTCCATGGCTCAATAGTTGGGGCTTTGACTGCTAATCAACTGGGCGCGGGTCCGAACCTCTAGGATTGCAAAACCTGAGATTGGGTATGGCTGGCTGATGACGACTACTAAGGCAGAAATTCCAGTCATTTCAGTCGTCCTCGGTAAGGTCAGTCTGCCAAGAACGTACTGTGTTGACGGCCCAGTGAGCTGCTTCTTTAACGGGACTGCCAACTTTACTTGCACACCTTCCGACTGCTAGATAATAAACCAGTAGTGTGCCAACTTCGCAATCTTATTTTATGCTCCAGCTTTGGTCTAGACATTGACCTGCGTTGCCGCTCAAGATGAAACAAAGAACCAACTCTGCGCTCAGCAGTTGGTCCCTAGGATTGTAGTTGTGCTAGTGGTAGCATTTGCTCTACACCAATTTGTAATGCACAGTGAGTTCAGCCTTTTCTTCATGGTAAAGCGATTCTATGAGTCGCTGGAGGATGTGAAGTCAGCCAGAGCTCAGAGACGCCAGAGTAAAAGATTTTTCTCCCGAGTATGGCCATGCTATCTCATTCCTTTTCTTAACTGACATTACTCCAGATGCCTTTTTTACCAAGGAAAAGGTATTCGCTTATTTACTATGACAACAATATGAGACTTCATAATATGTTGTCGCCCATGCTACAGGCATAA